ACCCACTTCCTCATGATTGGAGTTGCCACTGCACTCGCACTTCAGTTTACCAAGGGTTGACTCCACTGTACTCCACAGGCGACGTCAGGCGTCGACATAGCCAACGCCTCCCAGGCCATATGCCACGTGCAAAACCGCAGCAGCAATGGAGTGAAATGTGGAACTCCCAGAAGAAAAAAGCCAACGGGAGTCAGTCCATCCACCACATCAGCCTGTGACGTGGTGTGGACAAGCACCTCCGGTCACCTGCGCGTGCGCAAAGCGCCTGATTGAGAGAAGAGATGGCCACTGTCTCCGCCGCTCGCCTTCACCATGGCCCACCTGTGCGATGTCCCAGCCCAGGGCGGGGCGCGCCGCTCCCGGTAGCGCCGTGCCCCGCCGGTAAAACTCACAATGGGTACAACTCAAGTTTGCTCTTCACCGGTTCTCTCGTGCCACCTAACCAGTAGCGTTCCCACCGCCACCCATTACACTCTCGCTGCTCGTGGTAGCGCCGCTGCTGATATCTCATAGGATTCACCCTGATCCACACTGAAACTGCTGCTCCACTCTGTCGAAGTCATCTCAATAACCAAGAAACCTTGAAGTTGCCACTGGGGCATATGTTCATTGACAGACCACATATACGCATCCTACCCTAGCCACTGTCTGCACCCCCGAACGATAATCCCACCAACTCTTCGGAGCTTCCCCCTTGTCCTTGCTGTGCTGTTCCAACAAAGTGCAAAAGAGCCTGAGTTGCCATGACGGGTTTCCCACCACGCACCCTTGGATCTTTGTGAGTAGGCGGATCACAATGGGTACAACTCAAGTTAGCTCTTCGCCGGCTCTCTCCTACCACCAAACCAGTAGCGTTCCCACCGCCACCTGTTACACTCTCACTGCTCGTGGTAGCGCCGCTGCTGATATCTCCATGGGTTTCACCCTGATCCACACTAATTCTGCCCCCCTACTCTTGCTCGTAAACAACTGTGCAAATACAGTCAGACTGAAACAAGAACATGTCAGCCGCAGTCCCTCCCTTCCTATAAGATGAGTACCTAAAATGAGGAGAGAGAGATAACGGACCTCCCTTCCTATAAGATGAGTGCCTATAATGAGGAGACATAGCGGACGCCGTACCAATTATACCCAAATGTTCTAAGAAGCAACACATCCAAGACTAGCGCCTACCAGTAAAAGGGGAAATTTACGCACAGCCACTATATTCGAGAAATCTATCCTACATATCGAGTCAAATAGGGAGCAGAGGAATCGGAATACGGTACAATGCTGCTGTATGCAAGAAGAAAGCAAAGGAGTCTTTGTTTCAAAATGCCAGAAGATAATGCATCTAACCTATGAACAAGATAAGATACAGAGCACAAATTCAAATATTTCGTCCGTAAGAATCCGCCAGCTCATATTGGTAGCCACATCAGCAAACGATTGCCATGGCATTTTGTCCGCAAAAAGAGGGACAGCCGTGTTAGCAATAACGCTTGGCTTGTGCAGGGCTGTCAGGTCAGCACGGACTCGATCTGCCCATCCGGAGTAGCCACATCAGTAATCACGCTTGATCCGTGAGGTGCTCTATGTATCAATGACCCGCCGCCGGGGACAGGTTCCACTCAGAGCGTGTTCACACTAGGGCTTCGTTGAAGAGTCAAACTCCAAACGCTGTGTACGGCGGATGTATCTGACCGCAATTTGCACCCACGGAGGAGTGGAAAAAGTCTTCGTGTCAGTGCCTCCGTAATGAACTTGGATTCTTTGTTTCCCATGTCGGCCGCACTCCCACCGCCATAGCAAGCTCTCCCACTGCTTCCGCTGGCGCTGCTGCCTTCCTTCGTGACATTCAACCCAGACTGCCTGGGCAGTCAGGATTGGTCTCTCTGATGTAGGTGTCGGAGCGAAGTGATAGTTTCATAAGAGTAGCTCTGTTCTGTGCCCTTGGTTTGCCGATGCCAGAACGACGCTGGCCGGAGCTGGGGCGTTGCCCTGTAACCTGTAAAWGGCAGGAGTATGAGGCCTTGTAGAGAGATCTGGGGTTTGCTGAGGGTGGAAGGCATTCCAGTGGTGAACCGGGGGGGGCTGCAAGGAGGCGAGAAGAGATCAGCTATGGTTGACGTYGGTTAGGTTGGTCTTGTCTCTGAGGAACAGTGTCCTGATATAGGGAGGGCTAGGAGTTGTTCTAGGATTAGAAGGCCAGAATAGCTGATATAGCATAATCTTCTTTATTTTTTCATAATTTTGAATCATCATTCTCATTATAAAAAAAAAAAAAAAAAAAAAAAAAAAAGCATCACAAGATGGTTGAGTAGACGTCTTGAGGTAAAAAGTTGAAGAAATCAAATGGCATGGAAATATGTTCGGGGCCACCTGGATGCTGAGGCACTCCCCCATTCAAGGAGGAGGTGACACCTATGCTCTGTATCTTATCTTGTTCATAGGTTAGATGCATTATCTTCTGGCATTTTGAAACAGGGATTTTCCTTTGCTTTCTTCTTGAATACAGCAGCATCGTACCATATTCCGATTCCTCTGCTCCCTATTTGACTCTATATGTAGGATAGATTTCTCGAATATAGTTGCTGTGCGTAATTTTTTTTTTCCCCTTTTACCGGTACTAGGCGCTAGTCTTGGATGTGTTGCTTCTTAGAACATTTGGGTATAAAAATTGGTACAGCGTCCGCTATGTCTCCTACCCCTTTTCAAATGCAGCTCATCGGGTCCTCTCTCCCACCCCCTTCCTTTCCCCTCTTGTTTTTTTTTTTTTTTTTTTTTTTTTTTTAATACCAGGGCCATTACCTGGCTTCGGCTAAGAACAATCTGAAAACGATGAAAAAAGTTCAGGAAGATTTAGGAAAAACGTAGATAACTGTTGACCTATTGCTACCGTCTTCCCCCGAACATAACGCACCCTGAAAATGAACGTATACAAGATATGTTTCCGGCCCGATACAGGCAAAATGAGGGTGCGTTGTGTTCGGGGGAAGACGGTAGGCTACTCAAGCAGCAATTACCACAAAAGTCCTTCAAATGCTCTGAACCCCTGGGGCTAGGTCCCACTAGCACGAATTAAGAGATACTGACCGTAGATAGCAGAGATCAACGGCAGAGATCAACGGCCGAAATCTCCTAATTTGCGCAAGTGGGACCTTGCCCCTGGACTCCCCGACAAAACACTCTAAAATTCTGTAACACTATCTAATTCCCTGCCAAGCTCTCCCAGGCCGCATGCCCCCACCCTGCTCCTGCATTCTGGGAGCAATTTTTTGTCGTGCATGGCTGGAAATGACGGAGGATACCTCAGTCATCTTCTTCTTCTTTTTTTTTTTTTTTTGTGTGTGTGTGTGTGTGTGTGTGTGTGTGTGTGTGTGTGTGTGTGTGTGTGTGTGTGTGTGTGAGTTGTAGTCACCTCGGTCTTCAATTTTTTTGACAAGTTTCTGGCCTCCATCGTTCTTAATGAAAATTGGAATTTTGAGAAAAAGGAGAAAAAAAGAATTGACAAGTTTTGGTATCAGAAAGAGAAGAGGTGGATTACCAAGAAAAGAAAAAAGAGGACAAGAGAAGTTCTGTTTGTGGCAGTCTGTGGGGGGTCGCATGACATTACAGCTAGTGCAATGATGGCCAAACATTTGACAGACATTTCAAGCACAAATGAAAAGCACTTGTGCACGACATTTCAGAGTACATTTTGTCGTTTTGTGTCGGCGGAACCAGGGAAGTGCAAGCAGTGGAAGGAGACTCAACCATGACCGCAAAATTTGGGGGGGGAAAGGCAGCTTCTGCAATTGCCAGTTCCCTGTGTGCATTGGCATCTTCGTCGACCACTTGTTCAGCCGGCCCTATTTGTCGAACCTGTCTCTCCATCATCAACCCTGGCCTTTCCAGCCTGAATGGCTGGCCCTATCAGGGGCCAAGTCCCACCAGCAGCATTGAGTTTCCTCAACGCCCGAATCTGGACGTCTTTTGTGGAGATGTGTGGTGGAGGATCCGGGTCACCGCACTGCAAGGAGGGGCAACCGTATGCATTCCGTTTGCGACTTCGCAGATGTGCAGTCCCTTGTTCTTTCTTCCTCGTATCCTTCCTGGACACAGGGGAACCTACCCTACACCAATGACTTGTTTCTGGAATTTTGCACCAAAGGAGTTGCGATTCTTGAAAATTGAAAAAAAAAACAGAGTTGGTGCACTGAAGCTTTTTTGCACCCCCAGGAACCCTTCTTGCACCCAGTAGACTGAACCTGAAAAGAGCCTCCATGTGCACTGCAGAAAGCTTTAGTAGGCCCATGCTGTACGGATGCTTGACATGGAACAACTTCACATGTTGCGTGCCATCATATTGCATAAGGGACGCTAGACCCGTTTTCCAGCAGGTGATGCTCCCCACCAATAGATGGAGCCTCTCCCCAGGTGGTAGTGATGTCTGCCCTCAACAGCATCACTAGCACTGGAGGGACTGTGTTTCCTTAAAAAACAAAACAAACAAAAAAACAAAAAAATCATGGGTGCCATCATGATATTGAGAGGACGCATGTCTGCTGGGAAGGGGAGGTAATTACTGTACACTGTCCAGAACACTATGACACATCACTGGAAAGACCTGAAGACAAAAATACTCTAAGGGCATAGGGCCTCGTTAGACCCTCCTTGAAAATCCTCAGGAATGTCGAAAGTTATGGTTACACCGCGTCCTAAAAAACAAAAATCCTTGAAAAAATGTGAAAACGCTCCCAAGAGATTTCCTTGGGTCCCTCGGAATCCCCAGCCATTGCGTCCTTGGATTCAAGGGGTCCTCAAGAGGTCCCTTGGGCTCAAGGATCCGCGATAGACGGGCCGTCGTCGAGCGTGCGCCGTGACGGGAAGTTTCTGTTTTTGCTGTGCACATGACGTCCGTGGTCCATCGGGTGGACAATATCGGCTTGCTACCGGCGGGAGGTCACCAACGGCCTTCTGGTGTTATCGTTCGCGCGTACACGGCCGGGGGTCTCGCTTCGGGTGCAACAGACGTCGGAGCGGCGGGGTTCTCCTTCTGCACTTCGTCGGGCGTCGTGTCCAACGGTCGAATATTTCGAAATGTGTTTTATGTGCGGGGTGTGATGTTGTCACCGGCCACCCCGTTTGTTGCCATTCGCGTGCGCGAGTGAGGGTTGTCCGTTCGGGTGGTCATCTACACGTGGTGCGTTTCATGGCAGACATCTTCCGGCGGCTACCGCTCCTGTTACTAGCATCTCTTCTGCTGCTTCTTCTCGTCTTTTTGCGCGCCTTCGTCGTGACGTGGCCTCCTGGGCGTAGACAGAGACGACAAGTGGATAGGAAGACGACGATGGACAGGCGGGACAGCTCCGTCGGACAGCAGAGACGTGTGATGGATTTCTCCATTCCTGATCGGCCCCGGTCCGGCCATCGACCCGCCGCATATGACCCGTCCTTGTACAGTCATCTTCCACCGCACGAACAGCCGCTACCGCCAGATCCGGAGGACACCTGGGTTGAGGATCTGTCGCACACACTTCCTGTGGGGAGTGGATCTACGCAGGAGTGGACGAGCAGGCAGTGCCAGCAGAGGGAAGCAGGGACCACGCGCGAGTCATTCACCGCATTGCTGGAGGAGGGTGTCGACAACGCCGCCACAGAGCTTGTGGACTTGGATTTCGGATTGTGCAGCGGGAGTGGTGCAAGTGGTCCAATCCACGGCGGAGGGGTGTTGGGATCGCCAACGTTGGGAGGAGGATCGTCCCGTGTCGGTGGGCTGACGAATGGGTGTCGTCCACCGGTCCCGAGTTCCATGGGCGCCGGGCCACTTGGCGAGCCGTCAAGGGCAGTGACACCCATCCGCCCGTCGGTGTCTTCGCCTACAATGCGGCAGAGGGCGATCGCAAGCGCTGCAATCAATGATGGGACCCCACCGGAAGACATCGGGAGGCAGGCGTGGGAGAACTGCCGCCTACAGATGCGGCGTGCTGCCACGGAGAACATAACCACCGGTGTGTCTAGGCTTCGTGTGGGGAGCACGGAAGACGGTGAGGGGCTGGAGATCCGACCCGTGGCTGCGGGTGGTGGGCGGAGGGGAGGACGTGGACGTCAACAGAGGGGCGAGTCGCGTGGTGGCCGAGGATCGAGGGCTCCTATGGGCGACAAGGGTGGCAAGCACCCAGCTTGGAGTGTGGAGGATATGTTGAAGCTCGCTCGAGCGAAGCGGGATCAGCAAGCTCATTTCGAGGGAATGCCACACAACTACGGCCGCATGCGCAACAGGGAGTGGAAGCTGCTGGACCTGCAGAAGCGGCTGGCGGAGGTCGGAGTGGACAGGACAACGGACGACATAGGAAAGAAGTGGGACAACGTCTTCCAGCAGTACAAGAAGGTGCAGCGTTACCAGAACATGTCCGGTGGGAAGAACTTCTTCACATTAACTCCTGCAACGAGAGCGGATGAGGGTTTCAACTTCCGAATGGATGAGCGAGTCTTCAATGAGATCGACAACATGTCGAAAAATAACAAGACCATCTACCCGGACAACGTGGCAGACACGAGCGCACGCGGAGGAGTGCCGCCAGCAATGGATGGTCACCGCCAGGCGGCCGTTGGTGGAGAGTCCTCTGCTGGTGGACAGGGGGGTGATGGCGTTGACGAAGATGTGGGTTCAGCGCGGGAGACGGGGTTCAGTGCAGGGAGCACGGGCACTCCAACGAAGAGGAAGAACATGCGGCAGCAGACCTTTGACGCCATCGCCGAAGTCATGGACAAACACGGTGCATTGATGGCGGACACGGTAGAGGGTGCGAGCAAACGGCAGTGTAGCATCCTGGAGCGGCAGTGTGACATCCTCGACCGGGAGGTTGAAGCCCAGAAGCGCCAGTGTGACATATTGGAGAGGCATTACACGGCGTCCGATGAGGCGAACAGGATGATGTGCACGGCGTTGATGGAGATTGGCAGAGCGATAAGGGATAGATCTTGACGCCAGTGGTGTGAGGTTTGTCAAGCCGTTGAAGTGGATTCGCCCGCGATCTGGCCCGTCGCGAAATGTGGTGCCGGTCCTTCGACGACGACAGAAATCTAGGAAACAAGGCGGGGGATGGTGTGCGCGATGGCCGTGTACCCTCGCGCGCTTCGAAATGTTGAGTCGCTGGCTCTCCAGGGCAGGGCCGTCCATTCCCCAGACCGCATTGTCCCTTGGTATTTGGGGTGGTCTCCCCCCATGCGAAATGGGTGATCGTCGTTGTCGTCGCGTGGAGGGGTGTGCAGGAGGCCGTTCGGGCGGGATCTGCGCGCCGAGGGAGGGGAAATTTCACTGCGAGCACTATAAAGGTCCGCGCGAGCGCTATCTTCTCCCAGTCTTTTGCTTCTCGACTGCGCGCAAGGCCACACGTGGGGTTCTCGTTGTGCTGCGCGGGGAGCTGAACATCGCTCGCGGAAGACGATCCCTGGCGACTTCCTCTCGTGCACTGCGGCAGTCCATTTTCGTTCACAGGGCGTGCGCAACCGACCGTCAGCGAATGGCGCCACGTGGGCAGCAGAAGGTGAAACGTCCACACGGTGGTTCCGGCAAAGCGGGTGCAGGGCAAACAGGAAGGGGCCATATCCCAGAGTCGAAGAAGCTCCGCGCGGGAGATGGGTCGGAAGGAGAGATGGGGGGTGACGGGGGAGAGGAGGAGACGCCTAGCGGCCTATGGACATCACTTCTAAAGGGACGCCTGTGCTCGGGTTCGGGCGTGACGGTATGAGCAGGCAGCGCATGCTTGCGCTCACCAACCTTGGCGTCCTGACGTCCACGCGCGGCGGCAGTGGCGGGACGGCTCGTGCGCAAGGAGTTTCGTCCGGTAACATTCTGCCGCAGAGGGCCGTGGGTTCTGCATCTACCATCGCATCCGTGTCCGAGCGCGGCGAAAAAGCTCCGGTAGGTGAGTCTCCATCGCGCCACGTGGAGGCGTCGAACCCGACGACTGTCGCCGCTTCGCCGAGGGATGTGCTTCAATCCGCGCAAGCACCGAGCGCCGCTGGCCATGCCGCCGCCCTCGGTGTTGGAGACAGGCGAGAAGATAGGAGGGTGGAAGAGGCGGGGAGAAAGCAGGAGAGGAGGGAGGAGACTCCGCGCGGGGAAGAACAGGACGACCAGCCTCTGAGCTCGAGGAAGAAAAGGTCCCGCCAAGAAGCGGACCCCGACGTCGCGGCAAGAGTGTACTGGATGGGGACGGGGCCTTTTGAAGGCGATCGGAAGGAGGACGGGACAGATGACGAAACGGGAGCGTAAGTGTCCTCGATATGGCCGTCTTGCGTGACAAGGAAGAAGGTATCGCCCATATAGTGAAGCGGTCCGTCATCAAGGTTTCGACATGGCAGGAAATGGAAGTGCCGGATCGGCGGGGGTTGGATTGGACGGGGGGGG